TGTTTTTTGCTTTTCTCTCTTCAGATATTATACATTATGGAACATTACATTAAGTGAAACACTGTTAGACTAGATCAGAGATAGCATGCTTACAAGGAGTTTGTGTGGCAAACTTCTTGGAGAGTCTGGAATACTGCCATCTTCAGTCAACTGGAGCCAGAATAAGGCAAGATTAGCCAGAAACATGGAATTATAAACACAATTTTTTGTGATTTTTCAAGAAATCCAGTAGATCTACTTTTAAAAGTATTTCTTCTAATTCAATTGGTACAAGTGGACTATTCCATCAAACTGTAACTAAAATCCACTTTGTAATTGGTCTTTATGGAACAACATCTGTTCGTTATCTGATATCCTTGGCTTAAAGTGTAAAGTATATGTAATTTTGGTCACAATTGCTATTCCACTCATTAGTTTTCATTGAGGTCTCATTAACCATTTTTTATGACACTGCTTCATTTAGTCATGTGCTTAATCTAAACAATTGCATTTTTTTTTCTCTCAAATTCATCACATCTGTTTGGTTCTAGAATTCATAGCTGTTAATTTCAAGGTCAAGACTTTGAATGTGTATCTAGCTAACTCATACATTGGGTTTCCAGCTGGTCTCCTCTTATTTGGTATTATGGATCATATAACTATCTTTGATCTGTTGCTTTCTTTATACCACACACTATGTATGAAATATAAGCTTACTTCTTGAAAATCTTTAATATAATTAGTATTTGTGTTTCACAAATACTTCAAATCAAAGGATGCATCAGTCCCCACTTCCCCCAAGAGAATTCATTGTGTCATATGATTTTACACAAATAAGGACTAAAATCAGTAAGGATAAAAGTGGCATTTAGAATATATTTTATTTATTTAGATGGTAAAATACGGTTTGGACTTTAAATTGCTTTCAGAAATTTTAGGTTGGTCACTTCCAACTGAATGTTTCTGGTATTCTGTTACGACAGCGAAAGTCACGTGACGCTAGTAACACGTCATTGACTTCTAGAAATATCCTGTTCCTTCATGAATGCTCTAGCATTTACTAGATATGTGTTAGTCTTGTATATATAAGACGGTCACAATATAAGACTATAGCATCGTAGTGTAAAATCATTAAAGCAAACATATTAGCTATAGCTGTTGTAATTATTTTAGAATGATTATAGATCTATAAATAGATATAAAAAAATTTCATTCATTATAGTGGTTGTTCACAATTTTTCTCATTTTCAGCAGCAACTTCATCAAATGTTGTGGACAAAAACACTTCTTTACTGTTTCCCAGTGGCATTTAATGTGTATGCTTCAGTGGGTGATAGGATAGGGTCATGAAAAACATATTTTTTGTACATTCATGAAACTGACAAAAATTATGAATTTCCCCATAGTGTAAAATAAATTTTGATTGCTTTCTCCTTATTTTATTTCTTTGATAATTACAAAACATTTGGGCAGCTAAACACCAGTGTAACATTTTATGAAACATTTTCTCAGCAAGGTTGCACCATTCTCTCAATGTATTTGCAAGATAGATTTCTGATAGCATAATACATACACAATAAGTACCTCTTCTCTTTTTCTTTGTGAGTTGTGAAGCTTTCAAATATCAAAAAGCCATGTTATTTTAATTTTGAAATATCATTTGAATTATCCATAAGTTTGTGTATTAAATCAATCATTTTATTTTTTCTGGTGAAGTGATATGAAAAACCTCTTTTTTTTTTGTTTAGTAGTTGTTTTTTTTTGTATCCATTTTTCAATGAATGAAATTTTTCATTTGGACCATTTTGAAAATAACCAATTATAATTATTGTTTCAAAGGTAACGTTTTTAAAGACTTTAAGATGTATGCTTTGTATAATATTAAAAAGACTTGTATTCTGTTTTATATCAACTTGGGAATATATTTCAAATTGATTTTGTAAAATATTGGTCTGTTTTGCTAAATAAAAATCTTCACTACAAGATGTTTGTAATATTTATCAAAGTATAATTAAATGACTTAATATTGAACAGTTATTCTAGCATGGTTTTTATCCATTTCCTCATTTTGTTATGTGTATATAGTTGTTTTCTTCATAATATTGATGTTCCAGGCTCTACGGATAGTTTTACAAACCATTGAGAGCCATGCCAATCGTTATGGGCGATATATTGTTCCCTTGCTTTCCCTTAGTGCTGACTTTTATGTGCGAGTTTTTGTTAAAATCCATACCAGTCCAACAATAGTGAAGCAAAGCACAAGGTGAGTTAGAACTCTGGTCATGTACATTTATATTTAACTAAATGAAATGTTTGTGCATTCAATCATTGGCTGTTGATTACCCATCTAACAGTCATTTTATACAACACAATATTTTGAATACTTCTACATTTTCATTACGTTACAGCTTAGTATACTCATTGAAGGGCCTTTATGTCTTTATTAGTTGCATTTGAAAAATTTTAAGACAAAACTTAATAGTCCACTTATGATATCAATAAAGGGTTTGTGCGTAACTGTTGATAAGAAAGAACTTTTACTTGGAATTGAGGAAACTTATTACCAATTAATATGTTTAATACATATTAAAGTATTTTTGTTTACAATTCTTATTATCATGATAATTGACATACTAGTTTAGTATTTTAGCAATGTCGAGTTGTTAAGAAAATAAAAATAGTACCATTTCTTAATATATTTTATTTTGATGTTTCTTATAGCAAACTAGCTATGGTGTTTCTATGTTCTGGATGTGAAACATATAATCTTCAATACTTGGGAAAGTGTATAGAAAAGGAAAAGGGGTAAGGTATTACTTGTTTTGGTTTTCAACTGTATAAGATATAAAACTGGAACTTTAATAGTGCTTGATATATTTTTTCAAGAACAGTTTGTTAGTTTCTTAACATACCAAAATGTCGATGAATGGTGGTGAAGAAGATATTTGTTACTCCTATGGTACAGTCTTATGTGTTAACAACCCCTTAGTTAATTTGTAAATTTTTTTAAATTTTGATTTTTTCTTTCTGTTTGCATGAATGCAGAGAGTTAATCAAGTGAATAGCATGGCTTCTCCTTACTCTTGCTAAACACAGGACTTTTACCTACTGATTGGTCATTAAGTGTGATATCTTGTAAGAAAGACAGTTGTCACTTCACTGTGATGTTTTGAGCTAGAAAGGTGTTTTTTCTTTCTGAGAATTAGGCAATTGCTCAGGGCTTCCATGCATCTTATGCTTGAATGTGTATGGCTTTAGTTCTAAAAGAGCATGACATTGGCATGAGCAACCTGGAAATTTTATTGTTATGTATATTTAAAACTAAACTCTTCTCCTTGTTAAGTAGCTTTTTCATGTATCAACTTCTGGATAGACTTAAAGTTTTGCTAGAGAATTTGTGAGTAGGGGAGACCGGGGCTAGTTGTTACAGGGGCAAGTTGATACAGTGCCTCTAGCTCTTCTTGAGATTAATAGACGACGATAGTTCATGGACCATCGAACACGTGTTGCACAAGCTTTGTTTTAATGGCGGCATGAATAAGATCAGTCATGAAATAAAAAATGTATGTACATTTGCTGTTTTTGCATACCTAAACTAAAAAAAAAAGGTCTAGGAAATATCTATTTACTCTTTATATACTGTGTTTTGATACTGTTCTTATTAGTTGTAGACTTTGATAGTTAATACTTCATAATATACGATAAAATTGAGTTATGTTGTTTGACGATGAATTAGTATGGAGACATTGTTATACCCCATGTTGATATGGGGCATGTTGTTACATGCTGTAACAACATGCCCCAAAGTTAATCAAAAAGGTGTAAAGCAAGTGGGGCTGATAACCTCAGGTGAAAGAGGTACACTTGTGACAATCCTTCCTGCAGTCAATGCATTAGGAAACAGTGTTCCTTGTATGTTTATTTTCCCACGTGTCCATTTCAAAGATCACTTCCTAAACGGGGGACCAGCTGGATGTATCGGTGCAGCATATCCTTCAGGTTGGATGATCGAATATAATTTTCTCAAATTCATGGAACATTTTTGTGAAGACAGTCAAATGTTCTAAGGATCATCCTATTGTTCTTCTCCTTGATAACCATGAGTCACATATCAGCTTAGATTGTATCAATTTTTGTGTGGAAAATGGTATAAATCTTCTCTCGTTCCCACCTCACTGTTCACACAGATTACAGCCCCTGAATAGAAGAATATACGGGCCTTTCAAGAAGTATTATAATGCAGCAGCTGACAGTTGGCTAAAGAAGAATCCTGGAAAAACAATGTGCATTTATGACATACCAACCTTAGTAAATCAAAGCCTTACATGAGCACTTACTCCAGAAAATATCAAGAAAGGTTTTCAAGTTTCCGGCATATATCCTTTTGACCATCATATTTTTTCAGATGATGATTTTCTACCCAGCGACGTAACAGATCGCCCCTTGCCAAATGAAGTATCAACAGAAAACTTGGAGAATCATCTACTAGTGAAGACGTACTAATGAATAGTCCTCCTATCAACAAGAAAACATCAGACCTGCTGAGGAATCCAGAGATGATAAGACCCTTCAGGAAGGCATCCCCACAAAAGACCAAAATAACCAGGAAAAAACGATATTTGGCTATTTTGACCTCTACACCAGAAAAAAACAACAACTCCAGCTTGAAAAAGATGACAGAGATAAAAAGAAAACGAAAAAGAGCGGTCACGTAAAAGGCGCTAGCGCTGGTAATAAAGGCAAGAAAAAAGCGAAAAATCGGATGGAAGAAACTGAGTGTCTTCTATGTGGAGACCTGTTTAGTAATTCTGTATCCAGAGAAGAATGGGTGCAGTGTACAGTCTGTTATAAGTGGGCTCATTATGAATGCACAGCAGGTGAAACTCGTGGTCCATCTATTTGTGAAAATTGTGATTGTGACACAGACTAGAACTATAACCATTTGTGATGACGAGGAACCCACTTTGAGACTAATAATGGCTGGAGACGGCTTGAATGGGTAATGAAAAAAAACTTTAATATAAGTTTAACATAACAGCAAATGTAC